CTTCAAGTCTGCTCTGGAGAGTCACCAAACCTTCCAAAGCAGAATAGGAGCAATTCAAAAAGACACAGAGGAAAGTAAAAATTATTTGACCAACAAATACAATTCTATCAGGACATGACTGGTTTTTTAAAAAATGCAGTCTATACAGTAGGCCTCCAAAACTACCAAAATTTAGATATAGGTGATAGCATGAACATTTTGTAAGGATTTACAAGAACATGTTATAAACATTCTTTTAAAAAAATGATGATCCTTGAATTCTAGTTCTTGATGTCTTGTCTATTTCAAACAGGCTAATCTTTCTACAGTGGTATATTCAGCCATTATTATGAGAAGGGAGACAGATTTTCTGCCTTTCCATTTGGAACATGAGAGAGCATTACTTCAACAAAAATTCAGCAAAAAAGGAGCAATTGCTTGGAATTCAAAGATAATTAATTTAATTTAATAATTTAATTTCTTTTGCTATCTAATCTTATCTGGATTCAGAAATTAAGAAAGACCTGATCTACTCTATACTCAGAAGGGACGCTCTAGTATGATAAGCTAGACTCAGAAGTTTTTTTTAAAAATCCATGAATAGCAATAGCAAAATATTTTTGTTGCCAAAAAACTCTACATGAGTTGTGCTTGAAAGCATCATAAGCTTGAATTGAATCAGAGTTTGTTTTATTTATGTAGAAAGGGCAAAAGTGTTTTCTTTTGTTGAGCTTTCTACAGTTCAAAAAGTTTAAGCACAGGAGAAAGAGCACATGCCATACTATGGAAAACTGTGCATAATTTGGGAGAATTCATTCTGATGTGAAGGCTGTATATATGTGCAGTAAAGCTCAGGTGTGGCCATATGTCAGTTCACAGAACACTTTTTCAGTTCACAACTGTTCCATGGCAACTGTCCAACTCAGAGCTGATGGATTCATTGCAGATAACAGACTGGATTGCCAGATGTGCTTTATTTTAGAGGATTATCTCTTATTCCAAAACATCACAATTCTATGGAAAACAACAGTTGCCCTTTACTCTAGGCACAACAGCACAAGAGTCTTATTGCTAAAGCTGTTATTTGCCAAACCTGGCTATATACAAACTAGACTGATAAACAGCAACAAAGCATTTTGCTTTGAAATATGAAAGTCAAACAAGCCCATATAATACATGTTTCATGACAAGAGAAAGGCCCCTTTTGCAAAGTAAAAATGAGATAGCAAAGTAAGAACAGCTTACGCTTTCTCTTTGGTGTTGAAACAGACATTAAAATCCCATAGGAAGGGGAGGTGGTATTTAGAAAGGAAAATAACCACAATACCCAAGCAATTTCTATATTACAAAAATATCGCAAAAGTACTAATATATACCATTGTATAAAATATTTCCTCACCCTGAACTTTAATATTCAGAGTTTGGGCAACCAACGAAAAAAGAAATGGGGAAGCATGAAGCCCAGAAAGATCAAAATTCTGAATGCCATAATTTAGCTTTAAGAATAGATGCAGCATAACTAGGGGTTTTCAAGGGAAACTTGGGCTTCCTTAGAAGTCTATCAAACAATCCTCCATGCATGGCCATGTTCTCACCAAGACACAAACATGCTCTAGCAACGTCCTCTTTTCCAGCCTGATCTCCATTATTTGTCCCTAGCCATTAGAAGGTGACCTAAGCCATCCTTAGCTGTTCTAATGTTCTAATAGTGCTAGTTTTCCTCTTATTCTAACATGGTCCAATGGTAACTTCAACACATGTAAAATAGGTTAGGTTTTTTTTTACTCAATACATTGGAGAAAAATCAGATGATTGGCAGTCCTTAGAACCAAAGCAATACAGAGAGAGGAGGTACTAGTAATAGGAACAGAAAAATTCACACCAACGTTAGGCTTTGCTGAGTCAGGTTTGAGTGGATATAACTGTGGGAAAAGATCCTAAAACCCATAGCCATCTGGCCCAACATTGTCATACTTTTCCTACAGTGCACTGGATGTTTCATTATCGGGCTGAAATATCTGTAATAGCAAAGATCCACAATCAAAGCCCTAACCTGAAGGGAAAGGGGATTTTTATCAGTACTACTGAGACAGTTATTAACCATGCTGAAAGAGGGAAGTGTTCCATTAAGCAAAATAGAAGGTTCAAAGGCAGGGAAATCCACATTTTAACAGTCAGGAGACCATCTGCAAATCTTTTGCATTTGATTTAGTTATTATCTCTCACTGAACGACCAGATCATACCAACAGACTTGTAACAATGTGAACTGAATAATAAATTTCAGAATCTTCTGAAATTACGCAACACACAAGTTTTGCTACCCATGACAAATAAGCAGATCAAATGTGAGCTACATCAAATAGCAAGATTAAGATTCTTCTTAAGATTAAGATTTTTCTGAAAAGGAGACAATATTTTCTAGGTCCTGGTAGTACCGGTATCACTGAACCAAAGTAGACTACAGCTCATTTATTTCCATATGTAATATATAACTCCCACTTTGGTAATGTGTTGTCTAATTTTATTTTGTCTTATCTATTATTTATTGCATAAGGTACCAGGAAAGTCCATTTGATATTGATGATGGATATATCTAACCATCAAGTACATTAGGCTTTAGTACACTATTTCTATGTCTGCTTTGGGACCACATATAACTCGGCCTTTCAAATAGTAACTGGCAATACTGCTTAAACTGCCTGCTAATTCTAAAATATAAATATCTATACTGTTTAGATACCAACATATATTTTCAGTTCTGAACTTGTTACATGGGAAACAGCACACTTTCAATATTTTAAAGTGTAGAGGGTCCAATAAATAGGATCAGTGCATTCATGTATTTTATAAAAAATGCAGAATTAAAGCACTCAAAACATGCAATGATGCACAATCCAAGCCTCCAAGGTTGCATTCAGCCCTTTTAAAAGCTTTTGATACAGCCCACTGAGACTTCCAAAAGCTACCATGTAAACTGAAGAGGTAAATTATGAAAGAAATGCCTGAAGAAAAGTAGTTTCTACATTTAATTTTAATCAAACGGCACAAAATCAAAATCTAGTTTCCTTTTATTCTATTTTTGGAAGTGCAAGATTCCAAGACCAAAGGCAAACTTTGCCCTGAAAAAAAGCCAAGAATCCTGGCCTTAGGACAACAGAGTCACAATACACTACAGACTACACAGTTCAATATTAATAACCTGTTGAAACTAGAACTGTAAAAGTTAATGATTGACTCTTCTTAGTGTGTATCACAAAGCTAACGTACAAGCTGGCATGTTTTGCTTGAGAAGTAAAATGGCAAATGCTACCACATGGAGCTGAAACAAGCTGATTAAGATTTCTGCAGAACTTCTACAGTTCACGCCATCCTTCTCACCACTGTTGAACCTAATGTGATTGCTATCTCTTCATCGTAAGCACTAAATTTGCTGCTAATGTGTTGAAAAATTGTTGCAGCTCTGGCTTCAATTTACAGTTTGCCAAGATCATCTGCTCTGGAAAAAGAAACAAGGCCCAGCCAAAGACAGCATGAAGTATTTGTAAACTGAACCTGTTATTAGACTCTTGGGGCATTCTTCTTACAAACAGAAAAGAATAACCAATAACACAGCATTTATCATATGCCAACAGTTATCAGTTCAAGTTCATGGAGGTTTTTTTCCTTTTTTGTAGTTTATTTTTATTAATTTTACACATAATGTATTCTTTTTAGTGTATTTTCATTGTTCTTTCATTTTTTATTAAATGGACTAATAAAGTAAAAAATGTAAAAATGGAATCACCCCAAAATAAAAAACAATACAATGACAAAGTATTGAGAATTTTCACAATGTACATTCTTAAAGATTTTTATATCTGACTGAATTTGTGGATTTATGACAATATTCTTCAATAAAGACTCATATTAACTCCAAGTAATCTTAACAAAAACTCATTAATATATTTAAAATTAAAAAGTTCAATGGACACTGAACATAAGAAATATTAATTCCTCTATACATATTCACTCCATGTTTGCCCTGCTCTTTATTTTTAATTTTTCATGTGTGAAGGTTACTGACCCAGGTTTTCTGCTTTTCTCAAAGTGGAGAAATATTCTAAATAGACAGGAACAAAAAAACAAACCTAGTCAAAGAAGCTCAGCCAACAATAATAACTGCCAAATTATGGATGCAACACCAAATGTGTTATATATGTATATGTTAGACAGAGAAAGTATGAAATATTAGTAAAAGCAAACAAATATGATACATGCATGTGGCATTTACGTGTCCGAGTTTTGAAAAGGAATAGATACAGGTTTAGAAACATCAGCTGGATTTAGAAATTCCTTCACTCGAGCATGGTCACCACTATGAACTCATGAATTTTGAAACCCCTGACCTGTTTCTAAAAAGTACAGACAAAACTTGTTTGGGCAGTTGAATATTTGTATTGAATAAACACATGCACAGAGGTCTTATTCTCTTTTAAAAACCCAAATCCCATTATCTCTGCACCTCTAAGGCATTGCTCATGTTTAAATTCATTGTTTTCCTCTTTAGGGTCTCACAATATGATCCTTTTGGCTTGGCATATATAAATACAGAGTAACAATATTGAGTCTCCTTGTTCTACTTTGATTTTAAATTTTTATTTCTCATTGGCTTCCAATGAAATGTTCCCAGATTGCACCAAGCAACAGCAGTTCCCTTTACAATTTGCCACCAGGCTGATTTTTAATATGCTTGCATACATTTAGGTAGCAGAACAGCTGCCAACGCAAGCTTGGATTCAGTAGTATAACAGCTATTTACAGGCACAATTTTCTTAGTATCAAGGGGAGTTTAGTGACACTACTTCTCATACTCGTGACTATATTACAAGATATAGTATAAAGGTAAAAATGTGAGCCTGCTCCTTCCTGAGCCCAAAAATTGCCTAGCCCACTACCCCAACTACCAAACTAAAAACAAAAAACTCTTGATGGATCACCCAATATCAATAAGAATATAGAACTTTTTTAGGAGAGTACTTACTGGAGCTGCAATAGCACCACTGAAGAGTATCTTTAGGAAGATGATCTAGAACACAAGCAGATAATATAAAGTTCTTAGACTAATTTCAAATGGCTCTTGGTCTGGTTCCAAGTGCTCTGGCCTCTTCAAAAAGTGATTTTTGTGACTGAATAGGCAATAGAGAGAAAAAGAATCAGACTAAATTCAAACAAAAAATGCAGCTATACAAAAGTTCATTTGTTTTTGATTTAACACACTATAGAAGCCCAACTATTGAGGTTTATGGTTTAGGATGCTGTATAATCCCTTATACCTCCGATTTGTCAGAAAACCATGGCTCAAAACAAAAATGTGAGATCCCATCCACTTTGGGTCAAAGCCTATCTAATGATTTACAAGGTTATCTGTTGCTGCCATAAACAGCAAAATCAGAATCAGAATAGAGTGCTAGAAGGGACCTTGGAAGTCTTCTACTCCAGCCCCCTGCTCAGGCAGGAGATTTTTTTATCGTTTCAGACAAGTGACTGTCCAGTGTCTTCTTAAAAACCTCCAGTGATGAAGCACCCACAACTTCTGATGGCAAACTGTTCCAGTGGTTAATTGTTCTCACTGTTGGGAAGTTTTTCCTTAATTCCAGGTTGCTTCTCTCCTTGATTAGTTTCTATCCATTGTTTCTTGTTCTGCCATCTGGTCCTTTGGAAAATAAATTAACCCCCTCCTCTTTGTGGCAGCCTCTCAAATTTTGGAATACTGCTATCATGTCCCCTCCTAGTCCTTTTTTTCTCTAGACTAGCCAAACCCAAATCTTGCAACTGTTCTTCATACATTTTAGCCTCCAGGCCTTAGTTGCTCTTCTTTGTACTTTTTCCAAAGTCTCAATATCTTTTTTGTAATGTGCTGACCAAAACTGCAGTATTCCAGGTGTGGTCTTACTAAGGCTTTATAAAGCAGTACTAATACTTCACGTGATTTTGATTCTATGCCTCTATTTATACAACCAAGGATTGTATTAGCTTTTTTGGCTGTTGCCACACACTGGTGACTCCTGTTTCAGTGATCGTCCACTAAGGACTCCAAGGTTCCTCTCACAATTACTGTTTTTGAGCCAGGTTTCACCTAATCTGTACTTGTACCTTTGGCTTTTCTTTGCCAGGTGTAAAACCTTGCTTTTCTCCACATTGAATTTCATTTTGTTGGATAAGGCCTTTTGTTCAAGTCTGTCAAGATCTTTCTGGATCCTGCGCTTGTCTTCTAGGGTGTTGGCTATTCCTGCCAGTTTAATGTCAATATCTTGGATCTATACTTTCAAGGGTCCAATTAAACTGAACTTTACCATTCTAGAACTCTGCAAACATATTCTGTCAACACCAGTCCTAGCACTGATGATATTACTTAGTTTGGGTAATGAAACATCAGCAAAACAAGCAAGCTCAGAGACCACCAAAGACCTCCCATCAGTCCTAGTGGATTTATATAGTAATGAACAGCAAACTGTGTAATTTGATGGGAAAGGGAGGTAATGAGAAAACAATTTAACATCTGTGATTTTCACTGTTTGACCCATTGTTATCTCTATCTGTGACTGAAAAAAAAGGGATATAGTCTCACAAACCCAATCATCCTGGCCCAAAGTATCCATATTTACATAGACACCACCCCCTAAAATAATATTTTTATTAACATCAGCTAGTTATAAACCCAAGGTCATCAGCACAAACAGAAATTAACCCCCCTCTGGTGTGCCCTCTCTTATCAAACTCAAGTATAAGAGGATATATGTGGAACAAAACAGTTCTTAAGGGGAAAAAAGCAAGTCAGTTGGATAATTCCTACCTATAACCTAATCTTGGTTTCCAGGTGTTTTGGGAACTATACCTTCTGTGATCCCTATTCAAGAAATATTTGCACATCTGGAATATCCAAGGCTGGAAGCCTTTGCCAGTCATCTTGAACTTGGAAAGCTTTACTGTAGTCTTGTCTCAAATCAGGCTGAAAGCAGGTAGTAAATGAGTAATATATCCCATGAGTTATATCAGTATTTTTCAAACTTGGCAATTTTAAAATCTGTGGACTTCAACTCCCAGAATTCCCTGGCAAGCAAGCTGCTGATTGGGGAATTATGGGAGTTGAAATATACACATCATAAAGTTGCCACGTTTGAAAAACACTGAGTTGCATTTTCCCAATTTCCATCATTTCTTACCATTTAGCGCTATCTACTTTGGTCACTAGATATAATCAGGATTACTTTTCCCCTCCATTAGCGGACCCAAAATTGGGACTATCTTATTCCTGGCTAGCGATTTCTAAGATTGCGGGCAAACACAGCAAAATTTCCCAGAGTAATCCGTCTTTAGGAAAGCGATCCCTCCAATTAAGCGAGGTCGGCAAGAAAGCCCATATGAAAAACGGCGTCCTAACAATCAGAGGGATGGCAGAAGGAATAATTGCCCTCCCTCCTACTTAAAAAACATGTATTTCGTTTCACTTCATGGGAGACTTGAGGCTAAAAAATGGGATGCAAAGATTTAAATCAGTGGAGAACTGGCTCTCCCTTGCCAGTTCTTCCTCTTTCCACCTCATTGCCCAATTGTCATTGCCCGAAATCAATATGGCGGCTCTATCTCTCTCTGAACAAGCCCCCCTCCAAAGAAAATACGTATGAGCTGAGACTCTATTTAGATGGGCAGCAAGTTCTAACCAATAACGAACCAAGAGCTTCCTCCCCTACCAATCAGAGACGAAGTACGAAGTTTGACTAACAGAATGATCCGCCTCCTCTCTTCCTCGAAATGAGCTGTGATTATGATGGCTGTTGTTTCGAGTTTGCCAGGCGCGCGCCTGCGCACGCCCGCAAAACTATCAGGCTAAACCGAGAGCGGTTTATTCTGCGTACCTTCCCGTCCCCCACAGCCGCCACTCTCCCAACCGTAGCGGTTATTGCCTCGGTACCTCTGAGTCAAGCATATCAGCTCTGCCTCCGCTGTTCTTCCGTGGCGGAGAGACGCCTCCCTCGTTAGGCGGAAACGGCCCGCCTCTCTTGGCTGCCCGCGGGAGGCGAAGGCTGTTCTAGGTAGCGCCGCTGATTGAGGAAGGGCGGCAGCCCCCATCCCCTTGCTCAGTTTCCTCTTCTGCTGCTAAGACCTTTTTCTGCAGTTGCCTATTGTCCGACCCGCAGATGTGTTTGATCTCCTGTACAGCCAGCCTATCAGCTGGTGAGGATGGGAACTGTAGTACAGATAGTCCCCGACTTACAACAGTTCATTTAGTGATCATTCAAAGTTATAATGGCCCTGAAAAAAGTGACTTCTGACCGTGTTTCACACTTACGACCGTTGCAGCATCCCCATGATCAAAATTCAGATGCTTGGCAAATGGTTCATATTTTTGATGGTTGCAGTTTCCTGGGGTCAGGTGATATCCTTTTGTGACCTGACAAAGTCAATGGGGAATCCAGATTCACTGAACAACCATGTTACTAACTTAATGAATGTTTCACTTAGCAACATAAACATAGGGCTCAATTGTCGTAACTCGAGGACTACCTGTATCCGGTTCTGGAGAAGTAGAGTGTTGGACTGTGTTATGACTTCGGAGTCATGAGAGCCAGTTTGGTGTAGTGGGTAAGGCACTTAGCTAGAAACCAGCAGACCCTGTGTTCAAGTTATGGCTTAGGCTGGAAGCCAGCTCTGTGATCTCAGGCCAGACACTTTCTCTCAACTCTAAGGAGGCAATAGGTTAGGTTAGGTTAATTTAATTTGTATACCGCCCTTCTCCCGTAGGACTCAGGGCGGTTCACAGCATATTAAAAACACAAATACAATATACAGGATACAAAAAAAAAATCATACAAAAATACACAAAATAACCCCACTAAAACCTAATTAAAAGCCAAATATTGATTGCTGTGTTCCCATTAAAATTACTTTTTAAAAACGTCCCTA